AGTTGACCACCAAGGGTCCAGCTCATATGGTGCTAGTTGTATAAATTCAGTACAGGGGTATCTTAGTTAGGGTTTCTAGTGCTGTGAAGAGACACCACGACCATGGCAACTCTTTTTTAAATTATTTATTTATTTGTATTTTATGTACATAGGCATTTTATTGGCATGTATGTTTTTAAATCATTTATTTATTTGTATTTTATGTACATAGGCATTTTATTGGCATGTATGTGTGAGGATGTTGGATCCCCTGGAACAGGAGTTACAGACAGTAGTGAGCTGCCGTGTGGGTACTGGGAACTGAACCCAAGTCCTTTGGAAAAGCAGCTAATGCCCTTAACTGCTGAGCAATCTCTCCAGCCCCAACCATGGCAACTCTCATAAAGGAAAAACATTTCATTGGGATGGCTTAGTCCATTAGAAATTTAGTCCATTATCATCATGGCATGACATGGTGGCATGCAGGCAGACATGGTGCTGGCTACATCTTGATCAGAAGGCAACAGGTAGTGGACTGTCTCACTGGTGTGGCTTGAGCATTTATGAGACTCAAATCCCACCTCCACAGTGACACAGTTCCTCCAACAAGACCACACTTCCCAATAGTGCCACTCCCTTTGGGAACCATTTTCTTTCAAACCAACACATTGAACTTCCTGGCTTGTAGCCATATCATAATGCAAAATGTATTCAACCCAACTTCAAAAGTCCCCATAATCTAGCACAGTCTCAAAAATGTTATTTTTTAAAGATTTTTTATTTTTATGTGTACAGTGTTCTGTCTGCATGTATACCTGCAGGCCAGAAGAGGGCACCAGATCTCATAATAGATGGTTGTGAGTCCCCATATGGTTACTGGGAATTGAACTCGGGACCTCTGGAAGAGCAGCCAGTGCTCTTAACCTCTGAGCCATCTCTCCAGCCCATCAGCAATGTTTTAAAGTCCAAAGTTCAAAGTCTCTTCTGAGATTCATGAAATCTATTAACTGTAATCCCCTATAAAATCAAAATCAAAAAAAGATCACATACTTCCAACATATAATGGTGAAAGGTATGTATATATTACCTTTCTGAAATGTATGGAAGGGAGCATACTGAACCAAAGCAAGACCAAAAAACAGCTGGGCAAACTCCAAACTCTGAATCTTCATGTCTGATGTCAAAACTCTCTTCAGCTCTCCAACTCCATTCAGCTTTGTTGACTGAAACACACTTCTTTCTCTTGGGCTGGTTCCACTCCCTGTTAACAGCTTTCCTCAGCAGGCATCCCATGACTCTGGTGTCTCCAACACCTTGGGGTCTCCAAGGCAATCCAGGCTTCAACTTTATAGCTTAACTTCACAGCTTCATACAATAACCTCTCTAGGACTCCACTTAGGGACATTCTGACACATGTCTGGCCTCAGTGGCTTTCTTTAGACATGAAGGCAAATTCCATACCACCTTTCTTCTATCCTTAACATTAAAGCCAGAACCACATGGCTAAAGCTACCAAGTTCTGCTGCTTACTGGGGCTGGGACATGACCCCAACATGACACCCTCATTTAATTACATTTTCACCAGCTTTCTGTTTCCTTCACTGCCCAAGCTTAGCTGTTCTGGAACTTGCTCTATAGACCAGGCTGGCCTTGAACTCAGAGATCTGTCAGCCTCTGGCCCTGGAGAGCTGGGAATCAGAGGTGTGCCCCACTACATCTGACTCTAAGCTTTTCTTTAATTCCTTTTCACAAATTGGAAACTAACTGGGTGGGATCTTGCCCTGAGGTCACTGTATCAGGCTTTCTTGAACCACCAACCAGCTCCCAAATCAAGGCAGAGACTTATTTATGAATGCTCAGCTTTACCCTATATTTGTCCCACTAGCTCTTATAACTTAATTTAACCTGTTTCTCTTTATCTATGTTTTGCCTTTCTTTCATTCTGTATGTCCTACTTTTCCTGCTTCCTCTGTTTCTGGCTGGCTGGCAGCAACCTGGCTGACTCATTCTCTTCTGTCAAGCCTAAATTCCTCCTCCAACTTATTCTCTCAGCCCGCCTATCCCTTCTCTGCCTAGCTTTTGCCCATTCAGCTGTTTATTAGATCAATCAAGTGCTGAAGGCAGGGAAAGCAACACATCTTTACATCATTAAACAAATATAACACATCTTTACATTGTTAACTAATGCAGCTTAAACAAATGTAACATCTTTTACATAGTTAAAGTAATAGTCCACAACACAAACAAACGTAACACATCTATACATAGCTAAAAGTAATAATCCACAACAGGTCACCATTCCTTTTATTATTTAATCCGTTTATCTCCTTGAACACAGGATTTAGTTCTATTCCACTTCCTGGTGCCTTTTCTCAATCTGTACATTTTGTATTTGTATTTGCTCAGCTTGCTCCTTTTCATTATAAATCTTCATTAGAATTGACACCAATAACCACACAACAAAGTCTATACTAGGCTCTTTTGAGATTTTTCTCTGCCAACAAAATTAATCTAAAACCTTTCACTTCAGCCTCAGGCACTTTTCAGACAAGAGCAAAAAGCAGCCACGTTGTTTACCAAAATATCACAAGATCAGTCTCTAGGCCATATACTAACATTCTCCTCTGAAACCTCTTGATCCAGGCCCCCACAGTTCAAATCACACTCAGCACCATTGTCTTCCATGCTCTTACTAGTATGGTCCATTATAAGCAGCACTTAAAGCATTCCACTACTTTTCTAATCCAGTCCCAAAGTTCATATTCCTGCAAACAAAAGCATGGTTAGGCCTGGTATATAGTCCCTGGTACCAACTTCTGTCTTTGCTAGGGCTCCTATTGCTATAGGGAGACACCATGACCACAGTAGTTCTTATAATGGAAAAACATTTAATTGGGGTGGCTTTCATTTTCAGAGGTTTAGTTCATTATCATCATGGCAGGACATAGAGGTATGCAGGCAGACATGGTGCTGGCTATATATTGATCAGAAGGCAATAGGAAGAGGTCTGTCTCACTGGGTATGGCTTGAACATATAGGACTCAAAGCTCATCTCAATAATGTCATACTTCCTTTAATAAGACATTTCAATAGTAGTGCCACTCCCTTTGGGGGTGATATTCTTTCAAACCACAAGAAGAAAGAGTATCCCCTCCTTTCACATGTATGCACAGGGCTTCAGGGACATATGCAGGTCACAGCTTGGGGCAGCATGGCAGGCAAAGGGGTGGAGTGGTGAGGCCAGTCCAAGAGGGACCCCAGGGACCATCAGGACCCCAGATCCCTGGAGAGATTCAGCAGAGGAGCTTGATCTAGCACCATGTTGGCAAGGCCAAGGCCACAAACACTCAACCCAACCCATATTCTGATTTTTTTTTTTATTTTCTTCATGCCCAGATAAACTATCTGTCCAGTTCAACTCCTGATGTTGGTGCCTTTGTCTTTGAGTACAGCTGTCAACACAGCCACAGCAGGCTCATAGACTGCTGTTACTGAAGTAATCAACTTCAATAGAGGAAAGGCTATGCTGGCTTAGTTTAGGCTTCCAGTGCATGTTTACCTGGCCCCATTGCTTTGGGATGTCATGAGCGGCATATCATGTAAGTCAGTGGTAGACAAGATTCCCTCATGGTCAAGAAAGGAAGAGCAAGCCAGGATCCCAACAACCCCCTGCTCAGAAGGCATGCCCACCTTCCACTGGACGCCAACTCCCCAGAAGCACCACAGCAGGAACCAGGTCTGTAGAAAATGTATTTGGCAGCCCCTGAAGCTAAAAGCTACACAATTTTCTGGCCTGAGGCAGATAGACCACAGGGCCTGCCAGAACACCCCCTTGCTTCTACCACATTGGGCACTTGCTCAGGGACAACTCGCCAGGTGCCCACCAAGGTCAATGGACTCTGAATCCTCATGGAAAGACACAGGGTCCCATTTATGTCCCGACTCCAGCAGGACAGGTGCAAACTGAATAGTGTTGAAGGTCCACATTCTCAATAAAACAAACCAACACATTTTGTTCCTGGTGACCTTCAATGATCAATTTTATTATAAAGAACAGTATCAAAATATACGAATCTGTTTAAGAACCACCAAGAAATGCAGCGTTTTAAAGGGCCAAGTGAGTATCTACTGTTTCAAAGCAGGCAGCTTCTTCCTCCAAAACTTCCTGGAGAAATGGGGTTGATGTCCATGGGCCACATTTTCTATAGGATGTCCTCTCAATAACTTAAAAGGGTGAGAGTCCAGCTTCTGAACCTGGATGCCCGTCACAAATCCTCATGGGAGGGTGGCTGTGTGGGACTTTCCTCTGCCACTTCTGTCAGAAGACACACAGGTCACTGAATGAATATCCAGTGCTGCAGTGCCTTGAGGATGGGTTTGGATAGAATGGGAGCTGTATGTATAGGTGCTGGAATCCCAGGACCCACTGTGGTGCCCAGGCAGGCACTTCACAGCCTTACCCAGAGGCTGAGCAGGGAGGGTGAGAGATGAGGCAGAGGACAGGCAATGACAGCAGGCAATCCTGTCCTATGGTTGCTAATTCCTTTTTTATCCTTGGTATTTCACTGGCCAGAGCCCTCCTAAGTGTGGATGCACAACTGTTTGTCCTGCTTATCATGGGCTTTAGGAAACTCTTGTCACTACTGGCTTCTCTAACCACTGCCTGCTTCTACTTTTCCCAACTCCTGAGTCTGTCAGACTGAACTGTCTCTCTCAAGGAGAGGAGCTAACATCCAGGCTAGCACCTATCAATGTGGCTTTGCTTAGAAATAGGGTTTTTGCACCAGTCAAGGGTGACTGGTGGTATCCTTATAAAAAGGAAAAGCTTGGATACATGGAGATCATGCAAGGACTAGGAATGCTCTGGAAGGACTGCACAGACCCTACTTTACAGCTTCAGAGCCAGACACAGATCTGACCTTGAGCCAGGGTTCCAGAACCCAAGATCACTCTGTTGGGAAACGTGGAAGGGCTGGTGCCTCAATGAGGCTGCTACATTCTGCTCTTCCTCCTCTCTCAGTGGGACCGGCACACTCTGCTTTCCCTTTCTCCACAGCTATCTGTAAACCCAATCTGAGGGCATTAACCGAATCCTCCCCTGTACAGGCCTCTCTCACACACCTGCAATTCCTCCTCCTCCATGACCCTGGGTGTGCACAGCATAGAGGTTTTACCTGACTTCTGTGCTGTCACCAGAACAACTCTGCATTCATTTATTTGGCAGTTTCCAAGTGTCTGGTCAGTCCCAGCCCTGGGAAGGGCAGGCCACACTGTTCCTGGCCTCCTGCCACTCACCGCCTTCTGCTGTCTGTACACAAGCATCTTCTGTCTCCTCGAAACCTTCCGGACACACGCAGACAAAGCTCCCTGGAGTATTGTAGCAGTTCTCATTTTCCTTCTTACACACCTTTGTTTCTAATGAGCATTCATCTATATCTGTAATAAAAATACTCCATTTCAAGAAATGATCTCACACACACACACACACACACACACACACACACACACACACACACACACACACACACCCAGAAACTCGCTCATTCACAATTCATTCACCAATGAAAACAATGGAACCATAAATGCCCATCGGAGAAAGAAGTGGCAATTTAGGGAGGTACTCAGGAGAGTTTCCTGGGCCTCAGTGGCCAAGCCTCAACTGGCAGAACAGAGACATCTCAGCAGTAAGGGTGGGAAGCCCAATACCCTGTGCAATGTTCAAGACAATGGAGTTGACCTCAAGCTAAGACAGCCAAGTCCCCTAGGAGCTAATGATGACATAGGTGCTCAGGTAAGTGTCGCTACAACAGTGTCTGTGCAGGGGCAAACCCCATAGTCAGCATCTATCAGAGGTTGAAAGGTTCCCACCCACAAAGGCCCTTTGGGCAAGTGATGTGTTCCTTTTTGAAAGTTCACCTTCTTTAGCAGACAGCTCACTGACCTGCACACTCTCCTTTCTGCTTGCTGTAGCCAGAGATACACTCTTTACAATTGGCTGGGCCTTTTCCTGTGCAGCCCACACAGGTAGAATCACACTCTAGAAACAAGGAGGGAAGATGTCAGACAACTTCCACTTAAGTAAGGCTGAACAAGAGTACCACATCATAAAACAGATCCTGGTGACATGAAGGAACTTAAAAACAAAGCCACCTCAAGCCCAGTGACAGTTTGTTTTCCCCAACCAAGACCTCAGTAAGAACAGCCAAGCAGAGACTGCAGGCTCTATGGGCCTAGTGTCACATTTCACTGAGAGGACACTGCAGCCTGCTACCTTAGAGCTGCGAACACTGGGTGGGTGGCAACTTCATCCCAGCTACTTCGTGAACTGCTTCAGACCCTAAAATACTCATACCATTGACTGGCAAATTTGGGAAGCAAAAAGGAGTGTGAAATGTTTTCTAAGATGGGCGTGGTGGCGCACATCTTTAATCCCAGCACTTAGGGAAGCAGAGGCAGAAGATCTTGAGGCTAGCCTGGTCTACTTGGTGAGCTCTAGGATAACCAGGGCAACAAAGAGACATCCTGTCTCCAAAAAAAAAGTGTGGAAAGTTTTCCCTACAATGAAAAGAGCCTAGAACAGCAGCATGCTCCAAGATTACTATGATGTACAAACATGTAATGATAGAGATGTGTGGTTTTTCTGTCTACTGTTAATGTCACCACTTCCAAGTTTCTGAAGCAGACCCTTCAGAGGCCATCCTAATCTCATGTGTTGAAGGAAGACAGAAAAGTCATACGGAGAATGACAGGTCCCAACACTCCAGTCACCTTCACATGTGTAGGAGCCGTTGACATTTTCACAGTACTGTACATTGCTGCAGGGTGGGGTCTCTGCTGCACACTCGTCAACATCTGGAACAAAGCCACAAGGCTGTAAGCAGGGCCCAAGGCAGCAGGGCTGAGGCACCACCCACAAGACTGTAATGAGCTCCTGTGCTTCTTCCTCACAGGCTGAAACTATCCCTTTCTTCACTCCCCTCCTCATGGCTTGAAACCAGCTTATGGCTGAGTTCTGAATTTGCCTAAGGCCAAGCAGCTGCTGAGGGGTGAAACCAAAACTAGGACTAACAGAGAAGTAGGGTAGGCAGTGGGGCCCTGGGGCTACAGAAAGCGAAGCCAGTGCCATGGCAGGGCCACACAGCCCAGTATTTTGATGCTACCAGTTGTGGTAGAGACACCGGCTTAATCTAGATCTGAGTCCTCCTCAAAATCACATGCAGGCCATAAGAATGGCCTTCCATAGCCCCGAGAGGGGCAGACAAAAAGGCATCATCAGGTGGGAGTCAGACCTCCCTGGGGCGAGAGGGTCTCCCCTGTAAGGAAGCTTTTTCCCTCCCACCTGGTACCCTGCTCACCCACACAGGCATCCTCCACACGTGTCCAGCCCACTTCGCACTCCACACAGCCTTTGTTGGTTGGACCTGAGCATGTCTTGCAGGACTCATCACAGGCTGGAAAGCAAAGGCTGTATTAGGAGGATCCTTTAGGGAACAGAACCCTGTCCTCTCCCACACAGAGGAAAGCCTACTTTAGGAATGAAGACTTAAGCTCAGCAGGAAGGAAAATAACAAAAACTGAAAACAAGAAAATAAACAGCCATTACTTTGGAGCAAGATGTCACTACAGGCAGCACCTCTCATGGATTGATAAAACATGAAAAGTGTGAATTCAACCAAGAATGCTGCCCTGTGCAGGCCACAACCGCAGGGCCCCAGGAGGCTGGCAAGGGCCTCTGCTCTGTTCAGTGATCTGACAGGCAGAGCTGACTTCAGTCATGGGATATATCTGTTCAAATAACCCTGACAATCAGGTAAAAACAAAGGTCCTGGTTCCCCTGTATAGCTATCTCTTACGGGACCAGAAAGTCATTATTCCCTCTGAGAAGTTGTTTGATTGACTGTGGACACATTCTAGCCTCTGTACCTTTCCCCCTCTCTCCAAAGACACCTAGTAGAAACTGAATGACTTGTCTGTCCATCCTTCCCGGACAGCCATAGGCTAGAAGTAAGCCTTTCATCAGAATACTCCAGGCGATCATATGGAATACGGCCCACTACTAGGTACTAGGCCAAAAGGCTAAGGGCATTTGGTATAGGCACGACAGAACCTGACATATGTGCACTCAATCTCCATGTCATTCCCACAAGAAACGGCAGGTAGCTTTTCCTTCTGGTGTAGTTTATGGATACTTCAAAAAGGCCACACCTCCAGGCCTCCTACACTACTCTGGACACCTGGAGCTAGGGGACCAAGAGGTACTCTGTTCCCAGCTATGCAGCTTCAGCAGGTGCTGCTCCCCACAGCCTCACCATCAACCAAGCTGACCAGACTCTGGGTGCTGCTGCTTACCTGTGCAGAAGCTGTGGGTCTCGTTCCTCAGCAAGCTGAAGTAGCCATCCATGCAGTCGATACACAGCGGCCCCTTGTATCCTACGTGACACTGGCAGGACCCGTCGCCCTGTCTGCTGCCATCTCCGTCGCAGTGGCCATTCCCGCTACAAGGCCTCTGAGACCCACCCTGGCATTCTTGGAAGACATAAACCTTTGCTTGGAGCATGCCCCAGGGGTAGCCATGTTGTTCTCACACAAGGAGAATCATAGCACCCCTCAATCAACATGCTTACAACCTAACAGCCTTTGGGATCCTTCACAATTCAAACCTGGCATCATTCCTGCTGAGGAAACTGAGGGCCTGTTGAGGGCCTGAAAGCCGAAGGAAAGGACTAGAGACAGACAATGACTACCTAGAATCTGCAGGATCAACACTGTAATACATTATATGCCCATGGAGAGAAATCTGATGTTGTATTCAGCACACGGCCAGGGAGAGACAAGCAAGAGGCATCTCAGCCTGTGTGCATGCCTGAAACTGAAACTGTTGCCACCTGACCCAGACTCATCTACATGACTGGCTCTGGTCTCAAGGCTCACTTCATACAAGGCCAGGACGAGCTAAGTACAACTACCACCCCCAACTCCTAATTAACAGGTCTCTAGAGTACAGAAGAGTTCCAGAGTCCGTGTTCCCTACCCTAAAAACACATTAGGACCAGAGGCTCTGAGCTCTACAGTGCAAAGGGGAACTTTGCTAAAGTTAGCAGTGATGCAGGAGCCTGTGGTCCACGTTTACAGCAGCAGAATCAGGGTGGACAACTACCCATCTGAGGAAAGAGACAGGGTCCCCAACTTGGATGCAGACTTGGGATTTCCCAAGAAAAACATACCCTGACAGTCTGGCCCATAGGTGCCTGGAAGACAGCATGCTTTCAGTGTGTGTACACAGAACCACTCAAATAGGTTAGGGTACTCCTTCTTCCTGAGGATTTAGAAACGGTCATTAAATCCCTCGAAATGCTGAGCTGGGGGCATGGCTCAGTGATGGAGCACACACAAGAACACCCCTAGGGAATGACTGAAGCCTTGGACAGTTTCAAAACCTAAACATACTATTGGCCTTTACAAACATACTGGTGGGGAAGTTTAATTTGTAAATTAGGCATAGTAAGAGATCCACGACAATATCGAAACAGAATATGATACACTACAATGAGACTTATCTCTGGAATTTTCCATTTCTTATCTTCAGGCTGAAGTAACTACCTCAGGTGACTTGGGGTAGTGTATAAGCCCCCAAGGCTGTGTGATGGGAAGCAAGAGTCAGGTGTGCACAGGACGTCTTTGCAAGCTTCCTGACTCTAAGAGCTGTGCTCTGGTAAGAGACAAAGGCTGCTACTGCTTCTGTAATTTCTCTACTGGGAAGTGACTGCAAAGCTACTGATCAGAAGACATGGTCCTGGACACTCACAGTGTCTGCCACCAGGCCTCTAGCTGCTCCTCATGCTGTTCCAAGAGTTGGTTGCATTCAAAGTCGTTGCTGTCACACAGGCCCTCCATAATCTCCAGGAGCCGAATCTCACTGAAACACAACTTGTCAGCACCCCAAAAGCACCAGTCTGCTCACTTTAGACATGCCCCACCTAGAGACTCCTTTAGGGAAGAGGGGAACATCCACAACCACAGGCAGGGTTAGTCAGTAAAGGAACGCTAAGCTGGGATGTGCAAGGGACCCAAGGATAGCAGGTGCTACCACAGCATGGGAAGGAGAGCTTATTCCATTAGCCAGGGAAAACAGAAACCCCTAGGAGGGCTGGAGGTTCAAATTTGAGTTTTCAAAAAGCCTTCTTCCGAGAGGAGAGAGGAGAAAGGAGAGACAGCGGGAGAGAGGGGGAGGGAGGGAGGGGGGAGTGTGGAAGCCACAGGCCAGTGAGTGGCCAGAGACAGGGATGATCAAGGACAGGTATCCACCATCTAAGGGCCCCTTCCGTGTGCCGGTGGTCAGCACCAACCCCAAGATCTGAACGCTGATCTGCAGTCAGTGGCCGCCAATCCGCTCAGCTCTTGGGCACCCACCTGAATTCGTACTTGGACAGACTCTTCTCCTCCCACGCCGTGTTGCCGCCGCCGAAATTCTTCCTGGCCGTGTTGGCCATCCCCTGCGGAGGAGGTGGCAC